CTTCAGTTGCTCAGAACAAAAACTCTAGGGTCTGCCTTAGCTTCTCTCATCCTCTCACACTCCACATCCTATCCATCAGGAAATCCTACTGGCCTTCCCTTCAAATATATCCAGAATCTGACCATCCCTACCACTTCCACTGATACCACCCCATCCATCTGAGCCCTCATCCTCTCTCACCTTGCTTACCACAGTAGTTTCTACTTCTATCCTTGCCCTCCTATCATCTAGTCAAACCAAAGAACAATCTTCTTGAAACTTTGGTCAGTTTGGGTTACTGCTCTGCTCAAGACCCTGTAATGGCTCCCCATTGCACAAGCCCTTCCCATGGCCTCCTAGGCTCAGGTGATCTGGCCCCTCTGTGCCCTCCTCTCCCACTACTCTCCCCCTCACTCCCTTCTCTTGAACCACACTGATCTCATTGCTGCTTCTCTGACATATCAGATATGCTCTTGGCCTGGAGACTTTGCTCCAGCTTGTCCCTCTGCCAAGCATATCTTTCCCCTAAACATCTGTTTGTATGACTCCTTCACCTCCTGGTTCAAATCGCACCTACAAAAGATGCCTTCCCTGAGTACCCTATTTAGTACGGCAATCCGCACCTCCACCTCTGCTCTACATTTTTTTCCCATAGCACTTAATATCTTTTAAAATATTATATAATGTATTTATTTCTTATGTTTAGTATGTCTTTCCCTGCTAGAAAACAAACTCAACAAGGGCAGAGATCCTTGTCTACTTTGTTTACTGATAAATTCTAAGAAATCAATGCCTAGCACATGGTAGACGGTTAGTATTTATTGAATGATGAACCATGCTATATGGATTAACAAAATAAATTGGCTTAATGGAATTTTCTCCAGAAAAATATCTTTGAAAAAAGTCATCAATGTTGATATAATTCTAATTCTTTAAAAAAATTTTTTATTTATTTATTTTTTCCCCCCAAAGCCCCAGTAGATAGTTGTGTGTCATAGCTGCACATCCTTCTAGTTGCTGTATGTGGGACGTGGCCTCAGCATGGCCAGAGAAGCAGCGCGTCGGTGCGAGCCCGGGATCCAAACCCGGGTCGCCAGCAGTGGAGCGCGCTCACTTAACCACCAAGCCACGGGGCCGGCCCTAAAAAAATTTTTTTAGACTGAAACAAAGGGTCAAAACCTCCATAGCGTCAAATGCTATATTGGTTAAAATGGTGACGTAAAATAAAATAGCACAGTACAAATATCCTGTGTCAGGGGCTGGCCTGGTGGCATAGTGGTTAAGTTCGCATGCCCCGCTTCAGCAGCCCAGGGGTTCGTGGGTTCAGATCCCAGGCGCGGACCTACACACCACTCATCAAGCCGTGCTGTGGCAACGTCCCACATACAAAACAGAAGAAGATTGGCACAGATGTTAGCTCAGGGACAATCTTCCTCACCAAAAAAAATATATATATATATACATCTCCTGTGTCCACCAGGCTGTCAAATGCTTTACATAACTCATATGTTATTTGCCCACTGCACAGATGAGAAGACTGAGTCTCAGGATATTGAGTGCTTACCAAAGTCACACAGCTAGTCTGTGTTGGGAACAGGATTTGAACTCAAGGCTACACACCTCTGCTCTTGCCATTATACCACTCTGCCTCTGTACCACACTGAAAGACTTTTCCTACTAGATTTTTAAATAATTGGCTGCATGAAGATGAGAATAACTCCCTGTTTTCCTATTAAATTTCCCCACTACGACTGAAGTTTGTCACTGACTACAGTTGACAAGCAGGGCCACAGGTCACATAGCACATACACACACTGGGAGACTCTCCCACTGGGTACAACGGGATACAGCAAGTCAATGTGAGCAGCAGCTGACTTGCAAACATTGTGCTAAAAACTTCACAATTCTCTGAGTCATAAATAATCCTTCATCCCAATCATTTCCTTCTCCTCTTATCCCCCTCACCAAAACATATGGCACAACACTGATGTCAGTCAATTTACTTGGATTTTTAAAAATATATAGGTTCATTCTTTTAAAAATTTTAAGCATTGAATGGACATATTTTAAGTAGTACTTAGCACACCCTATATGGTTGGCAAAATAATGTCCCCCCAAAGATGTCCACATCCTAATCCCCCAAATCTGTAAACGCGTTACCTTACATGGCAAAAGGACCACTGCAGATGTGATTAAGTTAAGGATCCTGACACAGAAAGATTATACTGGAATGTCTAGGTGGGCCCAATGTAATCATAAGGGTACATATAAGAGGGAGGCAGGAGAGCCAGTCAGAGGAGATATGACCAGGGAAGCAGGCACTGGAGCAATGCCAATGTTGTTCGGAGGCCATGAGCCAAGGAACGCAAAGAGCTTCTAGAAGCTGGAAAAGGCAAAGAATGGATTCTCTCCTACAGCTTCCTTGCTGACATCTCGATATTAGTCCCGTAAGACCCATTTTCAGATTTCTGACGTAATAAACGTATGTTGTGAGCCACTAAGTTTGTGGTAATTTGTTATAGCAGCAGTAAGAAACTCATACACCCTACAAATATGGTGTTATAGAAATGCCAAAATCCCTCAATACAATCAGTGTTGATTCTGCTTATACCTGTGTTAAGGAGGTCACCAGCAAACTGAGAACCAGGGAACCACAGAAAAGTCTCGATTGACTCCAATATTCGACTTGACATCCGGTAGAGAAAGTCTACAAGACATCAGACTCCTTCTTGCTTCGGCGCCTCCCTCCTTCACAGAGGTAACATCTCACCATTGATGTTCTGCTATTGATGGGGACTAGGCAGCCTTGTGCCCACACAAAGAAACCCTAAAAAACGTAAAATGAGTCACTGTCTCAAGTTACCTGTTCCACTGACGGATGAGAACCTGCAAGGGGCAGAATCAGTTTACTTGGCATTTTGTTTTGCAAAAAAAAAGAGCCATAAAGGGACCTCAGATTGTGAGAATAGCTTTTAATTTTAAAACAATTGAAGCAATAAATCATCCATCTCTCTTCTCATCACAGGCAAATATTCTCCCAAAACATTTGAGATATTTTAAACAACAACTGACTAGTGCAAAACAAAATAAATACAAACTCTTTCAGGAGCCAGCATCACCACCGGCCGGGCAGGTGGGCGCGGGGAGGAGCACTGATGCGTCGACAGCGGCAGGATTCGCACAGTGTTTCAACACACCCAGCTCTGATCAGACTAAACAATGCCTGGGGAGGGGAACCCACAAGAGAATGTTGCCTAGAGTGAAACGAATATGCCCAACACCCTCATGTGGCTAACACCCTTGACACCTGGAAGATGCTTGAAAAATCATTGTAACCTTAGCAACTTTTAGGCAAAGCTGAAGGAATGGGGCTTGGGGCTCATTTGCTTTTGTTTCTCAATTGGGGTCTGATACATATTGGTTTTTATATAGAAGAATCTGATGCTTTCTGGAAGGCATGCAGTGCCTCACAGGGCTTCCAACTCTAATGAAATATTTGTGTTGCTTCTATCTGGATGCGTCACGAGAATTATCTCCCACACGTACAGTATTTCACTGCCTACCCCATGCCGTCTAGTCTAGTCTAGAGCAGCACCATCCAACAGAAGTACAATGCAAGCCACATGTCTGATTTTAAATTTTTTGGTAGCAACATTAAAAAAAGATAAAAAGGAACCGGTGAAATTTTAATAATATCTTAATATATTTAAAATATGGTCATTTTGGCATGTAATCAATATCAAATATTGATGAAATATTTTACATTCCTTTTTTTTTGGTACCAAGCCTTCAAAATCTGCTATTTTATATATACACACAATCTCAGTTTGGACAAGCCAAATTTCAAGAGGTCATTAGCCACATGTATTGAATAGCGCAAGTCTAGAGAATCTTAATGTAAGCTCTTTCAGGATGATTTACTGGGTAGGGAATCTCTGTTGCACTGTGCAGTTGATCTTATACACCAGCTTAAAGGTGTAGAACCTTGTTCTGTAACCTAGGAATTTTGAACTAAGGTGAAGGATAGAATCACATATTACGTACTCCTATCCCTTGGTCCTGCCCGTGTCACCTGCCAGCTCCCCAGGGATGGCCAGTACAGATGGATGTGACTTAGCAACAGCGATGCCTACAAGATGAAAAGACATCCTTTCTGGGATAGACAACTTTCTCAAGACTTATTTGGGGATCATAGCTATAACTGAATTAGAATAAGACAATATTCTATAAATGTTACAGATTTAGCTGAAGGTAGTTTTGAGGTTTTTCAGAAAGTGTTTAAAATGGATGTCATTTTTGAGGGGGATGGTAACAAAGTACTGCATGGACCGGGAAGTGGAGAGTTTCAAAAGTGGGGAAATGAATGGGATAATTATCAAAGAAAGTAGCAATAGAAGCCAGGGTGGGGACACTAAAAACGAGGCAGGTTCTAAACTGGGGTGTGTGAACCATAACAAACCAAAAACATAACATCTAATCTCTATGCAATCCCTCACATCTCCATGTCTGACCCCAGCAGTAACCATAGGAAAATAAAAATAGAATTGTATGTTAGGGCAGGAAAGGACTTCTGAGCTTATCAGGTCTAACACACTCATTTTAACGAAAAACACCCAGAGTGGTAAAGTGAATCGGCCCATCACACGCAGAGGTGGAGTCGGGCTACAAACCCAGGTGCTCTCACTATGAATTGCAGGTAGGGGTCCATCCAGTTCGAGGAAATAAATGATGGTGGGAGTGACAGGCTCATGCTACTCGCACCAGACTTCTTGAATCTCAAAGTGAGCTCGGGGGAATGGCAGGCACATTCTCTTGTAGGTGGGAGAAAACAACCAAGTCAATTCCAAATATTGAAGCAATGTTGATGCAAAATAGCATGAAAACAGGATTCTTCCAATCGTTCTGTGTGCATACTTTTCCTCCCCTTTAAAAAAAGATTCCCGATCTGAACCAAACTGGAGTTCTGATTAGTTACATGGGCATTTAGGCCAAATGACAAAATAAAAACTTTGATACGTTACATTTTTCAAAGACACATTCATTGGGATTTTACACAAATGGATATCAAAAGATATTTACAGGAAAAAAGTGCTCTCTTTCACACGTACATCCACACACAGTGAGAATTTCACAATTATACCACCACGCCTCACACAGAGGACTCCTAACAGGCTGATAATCAGTTTACAAAATCCACACATTATTCCAGTTTTCCGTAACAAATAGTCTCATCTACACACAGGTGTAAAATTAAGCAGTATGTTCCAGACTTTTAATTCCAGGGAAACCTGCCTTGTATATATTAAGGTATACACATAAATACATTTTTAAGTAAGAAAGAAATCCATTATTTGCTCCAGTTTTTCCCAATTCTTAATCTGAAATAAAGAATAAGCACATATACAAAACTTTGCCTTGTAGAAATAGCCCTTCGTTTTGTGAGGCAGAAAAAAAAGGGCAGCCATATTATACTTTCTTACAATATGATTAGGCATCAAAAAGGCTAAATTTCTTTTTCTACTTAATGAAATTAAATAATATATAGCCTATAATCTTATATACTGATTTTACATCATTAATTTTGCAAAGTTTATCATAAAATTTTTTTGTTCAAAATACACATGCTATCGCTGTCCACATTTCAATCCAAATCCCCAGTCACCCTCCCACCCCCAAAAAGGCCTTCGCTTTATAATAGCATTGAAAAGAAGTCATTTTTGATGTGTGTTTGGAGTCATTATTCTATGGTACTCAGCCCTAAAGAGACTGGATTTTGTAAGGCTGCTCAGCGTGGAGACTGCGACAGGAGTCAGGGACTCATGTAACAGAGTGGGGCTGCTTTAGGCTATGGAGTCAATGTTAAAAGGTGACACAAGCAGGCATAGTTTAGTAGAGAATTACTGCACCATGAGCTCCCTCCTTCTGCCAATCTCACTTGTTCCCAACTTGAAGAAAACATCAGATGAGAGAAGGGAGGGAGCATACTCTACTAAGACCCACATGGCACACCACCTGCTACTCCTCAAGGTTCATCCTATCAAATCTCCCCAGATCCTCAAAGCACAGTTGGAAAGAGAGGGCAAGCGTCATCACACCATTGTGCAGATGAGAAAAGTGAGGCACAAGGAGGATGAGGGACTTGCTCAGCTAGGGGCAGCACCCTGGTGTCCAGGCCACAGGCCTCGGGCTCCGTGTCCATCACTGACATGGCGTAAATGATCTCCTGTGAGACGATCCCATTATAACCAGAATCCTGATTGTTTAAAACTCACCATGTCATTATCCACCATCTGCGCTGTATTTCACCCAACTGGTTCTACTTTATTTTCCTACAATTTCTAGAGAGAGCCTTTCTACCAATCAAATGCACATTTAGCAGACAGCAATAAAGTTTTCATTTGACTGAATAATCTGAAATAGAAATTCCAGAGACCCTGGAATTTGGCACAGGGCAGTAGGAAAATTATATAGCATTATCATTCCATTTTTTCCTCACATTTGAAACTCTGATCTAACCTCAGGTTACAACGAAAATACTGAAATACTGAAATGTAAATGATGGTCTTTCATAATGTCATATAAAGTTTCTTTGCATCTGAAACCCTTCAAGTACCCAAGATCATGCTGTGGTCGCAGCAGATAAGCAGTGAAGGCAAGTCAGGAGGTGATTAGCCAAGAAAGGGCAGAGTTGGGACTCTGGCCCCAAAAAACGTAGACATGGAGGCAGGCAAAGAGCTTAGAGACGAGAAAATTACAGACAAATTTGGGGCACTTAACATGACTCCAGGGAGTTGTCATGTGTTACGGTAAGAAGAGATCAGCTATTTTAACTAAAAATACACACTATACCTTAGCGGGAAGGGCTGCTGAGAAACAGAACTCGTCTACCTTTGGCAAAGTACGGTATTGTGCTCCTGTGGGCATCTGGCTTTACACCATCAAATGTCACAAACCCAAATGAATTCTTGACAGCACTTAAAGGGACAACTCAGCCCTTTTTACGCCTGAAAATCTAAGCGGGGAACTAATTTTTTAAACTGTTCCTGAGTTATAGTTTCTTTCAACTATTTACTTGCTTTGTCTAGCTATGCTTAATCTCAACTGTTTTAACCTTTAAAAACCAACCTGTCACAGATTTTCTAGTTGACTATAAAGGTCTCACACTCTTGGTCTCATTCTCACACACATTCACACAATTGTAGTATGTATTTCGATATGATTAAATTAAAAATATCTTTCATTGCAGATGCTGTAATCTACTATACATAGATAGGTCAGAAATTATTGTGTGTAATGAAAAAATTATGTCACAAATAAAGCCCAGCTCAGTTACTGATTTTCGATATGAAACAAAAGTGGGCTTTTCGTTTATTGTGGGTGAGGCCACACGACTGGCCCCATTACTCGGTTTCTCTGGAGGCCACTACCACTGACCCCCAAAGCAAAATAGAGGGCTGGTGGCACATTCTCATTTTTGATGTGCCAGTGGCAGATCCCCCACCAGCAATATGAATACTTTTTTTAAAAAATCATCCTCTCCTTGAACATTTATAAAAAGAAAAACTATCTACAGTAGTGTATCATCACTAATAGAAATTTCTTCCCAGTTCTATTTCAGATGTCAAATGATGTTCTTTAAATAAACTATAAATACCCCATGTATTCCTTCATGTCTGGCTGTTCCAACTTTTTTCTTTTTCTTTTTTTTGGCAAATTAAAAAGGCGCATGGCTTCTTCTCGCCAATTTGTCTGTCTGAGGTTTAGCTTGGTATCCTGCGATAAAAGTACATGTAGCCCAGGTCTTTAGGGGGCCTTTCAGAGGCACAAACTTTGTGATCATTGTAGATCACCCATCTGAAAACAAAAGACAAAAGCATTTAATGGATTTAAGTCAGTTCCAGGAAACTCTGCAGAGAAAAGTTATTGCACTATACTTAAAATAATCAAGATGTTTTAAGATAACCAACCTCAAGTTTGTGGTCTAAAAAACAAAATGCTGGTGGGAAATTGCTTTTTATTCTTGAGCTTAGTCAAAAAGTAACAACTAAGGAGCCTCCAATCATTTTAAATCCTCTGATCTCATAATTCTGTTTGTAGAAATCCATAGATAGCCTCAGAAATGGAGTCCAAAAGTTATGTACAACAGTGTTTATTTCAACCTTAGGTATAAAACTAGCTAAAAATCAGAAGTAAATAGCCATGCAGTGAACTATTATACAACTATTAAAATATCTTCAAAGAATATGTGGTAAAGTGGGAAAATAATCACAATATAATACAAAGTGGGAAAAAATATGTTAACAAAATTGTGTAATACTTTATTATTACTTTATTATTAAATAATATTTATTATTATAAAGTATTGCATACATACTTTAAGGTTTTAGAAAAGTTGTAAATACACATGTATATTTATACGTAGTGTGTGTGTATATAGACATATACACTCTCTCCCAATGAAAACAATAAAGCAAAGAGAAATATACCAAAATACAGACAATGGTTATCTCTAGGTTTCCAGATGACATATTCTTTGCCTGTTTTTGTATTCTACAAATTATTTTTACAATAAATTTTATCGCTTTTTAAATTTTAATGATGCTATTTTTTCTCAAGAAAAGTATTTTTAACAGAGCTATCATGCTTGGTAATAAAAAGAATTCACTATAAATCAAGTCCCTGTGCTCAACTATTTTATTAATCAAGTTGAAAAGACAAGACTAAAAGACACACCAAAAAGGAACGCAACTGAGTTCTGGGTGGGAACTGGTCACTGCTGCAGTGGGAGACATGGGGTGAGAGGTCAATGTCCTAGCAGGAGAGGCCAAGGTTACGTGTTTCTCCAGCGTCCATGTGCCTGAGCACTGACTCAAGCAGGAGTGCTGACCCACAGGCCGCTCAGAAGGGAGCTCACGGAAGGGAAACCAGTGGGGCCCATGGAGATCCAGCCTGGGGAGAAGGTTCTGAAGAGAACAGCAGCCTTACATCCCATAACTATCTCATTCCCTGTTCACTACACATCTAACAATCCTACTTAGAAAGCCAAGAAACCTATCTCAAGGCTGCAATAAGGCAAAACACTGGACATTCAGGGTTGTCACATAAAACACAGGATACCCCATCTTCGAATATCAGGTAAGCAACAAATAATTTTTTAGTATAAGTATGTCTCATGTAATATTTGAGACAATATTTACAAAAAATTTATTCATTGCTGATCTAAAGTTCAAATTTAATAGGGTATCCTAGTTTTCTCTTTTTTTTTCTTTTTGCTTTGTTCGCTGAATCTGGCAATCCTATGGAGGTTCCAATTATGATATACATTCTGCTGCAGGATGCATCTTCATTTGGGGGAGTCACCTTGGTATGACGATTGCGAGTGGCTTTGAATACTAGCTCTGACACAGCTACTTATGAGCTAAGGTCAAGCTACTCAGCCTCCCTGAGCTTCAGTGTCAGGATGTATAAAATGGCTGTAAGGGTAGATCCCTACAAGACCATTGTGAGAATCAAATGAGATAACATGAAACACCTAGTAGAGGCACCTAGTGCCTGTCACATAGCAGGTGCTCAATAACACACAGGTATCATTTACCTTCTAAAAAAGACTCACCTTCCTTCCTTTTTGATATGGCAAACATAATGGCCACTCATTGTAGATGTTCCCATGTGACTGATGAATGCAAATAGTTCATACACTATGAAGGAGGAAACAACTCAGTTACAAGACAATATTTCAAGAAATCAACAGCAATTCTGATCAGAATTTAAAGCCAACGAGAGTGTAATCCAGCCACTGTTTAGATTGGAAGACAAAAAGTTTATTTACCTTGTTATGCTGAGAACACACACCACCCAAAGTGACACCAAATTCAACCTGCAAATTCATAACAAAGCAGGACATAAACTATCAAAGTACAGCTGACATTAAGTTCACCTCTGGAAGGGGCTTAAGAATCCCACAGCCCAGTCTGGTGGCAAGTTCATGTCTAAAAGGGTAGTCTTGGCTCTATCACTTCCAAGCAGCATGAGGCTGGAGAAGTTGTTTCATCTCTAGGAGCCCATTTCTTCATAGAGATGAAAAAATCCACCCACTTCACAAGGTTGTATGAAGTTTACATGACCAATTCAGACTAAAATATCATACAAATGTCAGGATTATGAGGAAGACAGCAGATAGCTGTTATCATCTATAGCAAAAGATAATGCTTTAGAATATGCTTCTTGTGATTTCTGACTTGCTCATAATTATAAACTATATGGGACCAAAATTCAGGCTTCATGTTTTCTAAACAAGTAGCTATATAGCCTCTTAGAGCATTAGACTGATGTTTATTCTCTAACTAGTACCTCCTACCATCTAGCACAGTATTCTGTACCAAATCCACGTTGAATGAATTTCAGCTCATGCTCCCCTGGCCAAACCTAGACCTACACAACACTGTGGACTAGTACCGGTCCACTCCACAAACTGTTACAGACTACAACAAAATAGGTACAGAAATTGAGTGAGCATTTATAAACTTTGAGAATGATATTCATGTCTGTTGAATCTAATAAGAAAAAAAAATGGGCTTGCATAATCATTTTTGTACTACTCAATTTTTATTGCATTTTCCCAAGTATTGGTTCTGGACAGACCCTTTTCCCTTACCTCTCCCTCTCCTATTCTCTCTCTTTCTCTTACTGTTCACTCATGCTCAATCACTTACTCAGCTGTGAATCCCCAGTCCTCATTTTACTCACTCTTCAGCACATCACAGACTGCTGATCACCTCCTCCTTCCTCAAATATTTGCACCCAAGACACGACCCTTTCTTGGTTGTCCAGCTGCCTCATCGGTTCCTCCTCATCTCCCTGACCTTTAAACGTTGATGACCTGGAGCTCGGATCTCAGACTTTTCTTTTCTCTATCCTGACTCTCTCTCTGGATGACCTCATCCAGTCTCATGGCATTAAATGGAATTATTTTCTTAATTTCTGGAATGTTCATTGCTAATGTATGGAAACACAATTGAATTTCATATATTGATCTTATGTCCTACAACCTTGCTGAACCCATTTGTTAGTTCTAATAGATTTTTTAGTGGATTCTTTAGGATTTTTTGTATATAAGAGCACATCATCTGCAAATAAAGATAGTTTTACTTCTTCCTTGCTAATCTGGGTGCCTTTTCTTTCTTTCTCTTGCCTAATCGCCTTGGCTAGAACCTCCTCTTACAATGTTAAATAGAAGTGGCAAGAGTGGACATCCTTGTCTTGTTTCTGATCTTAGGGGAAAAGCATTTAGTCTTTCACCATAAGTATGACGTGAGCTGTGGGTTTTTTGTAAATGCTCTTTATGAGGTTGAGGAAATTCCTTTTCATTCCTAATTTGTTGAGCATTCTCTCCTCAGCCTTATCTATCTTTGTCAATGGCAATTCCATTCTTCCAGTAACTCAGGACAAAATCTTGACTTCTCTCTCACACTCTTTACACACACCCAATCTGTCAGCAAATGCTGTCAACATTTCCTTCAAAATATATCCAGAACCCAACCACTCTTACCACCTCCACTAGTAACCCCTGATCCAAGTTACTATCACCTCTTGTCTGAATTTTTACGGTCGCCTCCCAACTGGACTCCCCGCTTCCTTCCTTGCCCCCTACCGACTACACTCAGGATGGCTGTCAGAGTAGTCTTTTTTTTTTTTATATATATATATATATTTTTTTTTTTGTGAGGAAGATCAGCCCTGAGCTAACATCCACACCAATCCTCTTCTTTTTGCTGAGGAAGACCGCCACTAAGCTAACATCTATTGCCAATCCTCCTCCTTTTTTTCCCCTTTTTCTCCCCAAAGCCCCGGTAGATAGCTGCATGTGGTAGTTGCACATCCTTCTAGTTGCTGTATGTGGGACGCAGCCTCAACATGGCCAGACAAGCGGTGCGCCAGTGGACGCCCGGGATCAGAACCCGGGCCGCCAGCAGCGGAGCACACGCACCTAACCGCCAAGCCAGGGGGCCAGCCCCTGTCAGAGTAGTCTTTAATGGAAGTCAAATTGTGGTTATTACTGTCAAAAACCCTCCCAGTGACGTCCTATAACTCAGAGTGAAAATCTTACTCTTACAGTGGCCTATGAGGTCCCCCCACCTCCTCCCACTCACCCCCTCATTCCACTCCAGCTACTCCAGCCTCCTGGCTGCTCCTCAAACACACCCAGCATGCTCTGGCCTTCAAGCCTCTACACTTATTGTTGCCTCTACCTGAAACTCTTCTTTCAGATGTCACATGACTCATCCCTCACTTCATCAAAGTCTCAGATCAAATGTCACCTCAGAGAGGCCTTCCTGAACCACCTTATAAAAGAGCAACCCTCCCTTCCACCCAACCCTCACCCCAACCTTGCTTTACCGTCGTCCTTCTAGCACTAAGTAACACCTGCCATGTCACATACTTACTTGTGCATTCATCGTCTATCTCCTTTTACCTCAGGCTAGAATATAGCTCCATAAGGACAAGAAGTTTGTCTGTCATGTTTACTGAAATATTCCAGGCAGAGAGAACGATGCCTAGCATGCAGTAGGCACTTAATAAGTATTTGTTGAATGTATAAATAAGTGAATTAAGGAATGAGTCCCTTCACTCCATTTCCTCACTTGTTTTTATATCACCTTATATTGTATATATTTTTATAAACCACCTACCAAGGTATAAATTGTGGTATAAATTATGGAAATAATGATTTAAAAAAGAAATGAATCAGAGCAAATTACCTTTCCCATCATAACTAAGTTTTTGTTGCTAACTGTCACATCAAGTCACAACGAAAAAGAAATTCCAGGTTTGAAACAAGAAACCAGGCAAAAACAATTGTGAATGACAATCATTTTGCCTGGCACTTATTTTCTGAAATAGTGATCCAGGGACCCCGCCTTTGTCTGCCCTCCCCACTGCCCCCCAACGCTAAGAACCCACCCAACCCCAGTGAGCAAGAGAGGATGTGGGTTGAGACCTTTTCACGTTTCTAGACCCTGGTTGGTTTTTAAAGCTCTTTTGGAATAATTCTATATCAAATTCCAAACCTTCAATTTGACAGATACAGTGCTGGTCTCCCAAACTGTGGCTGCCCTCTTAGAATTTTTGTGAAATAAAGAGAAGATACAATACCCCAACCAAGGCTTTTTTCCCCTCAAAGAACTGTCCTCCAAAACAATAACTTAAATAACTGAACAGGGTATTTAATGAGCACTGCCCATCATAAGCCTGGGTCATATCAATGAAACATTGCTTAGACACCAACACAGCCAATGGGACAAAACAAATAGACACAGAGAAAAGGACAAATCCATACACTCCAATGTACCCAAACACATCATTAAGCCCCAAATGCACTTCCCCTCTTTGGTTAACAACAATTCACATGTATATGCAGAATCATAAAAATAAACTAAAGAAACAAAGATTAGCATAAATCCTAGTCCTATAATTAAAATTAACCATGTTTATCAATATAAGCAACCACCCCATGCATTATTCAAGACCTCCTGCTAGGAACCAAGAGCCAAAGAGAGAGTCTCTCTCAACATACTCGCAAAAACTTAACAGTTAAGAAATCTCAATTAATGTTTGTTTCCAAAGAGAAAGTCAAGGTGAACAAACCAGACAGGGACACTACTGCTGATTCTTATTCAAATTCCAAGAGGTCAGAAAACAGTATCATTGCGCACACTTCCCCAAAAATGTACAGACCCCTTTTCACGTAGAGAGAAAAGATAGTTTGAGGCAAGGTAAATCATTTTAAAAATGTTGACTTTCAACATAGGAACTTTCAAAGTACCTGGAAGAGCTGAACAAAACTGCCTAAACCACTCTGTCCAACATCTGGTGAACAGTGTCCCTCTAAGTAGCCAGAATTAAACAGCAACTGAAACTAGCATCCTTCCTCCCCACTTCCCTCTCCCAACAAAACCTGTCCTTTTATGAACTTAGGAAAATGTTCTCAACCTTTCTAATATGAAGAATTTTTTAACATCAAAATTTTACCACCCCACCCCCACCCAACATAGTAGCAATTGTACTCTGATTTTACTCTTTGAGAAAGCACTGTCAGAAAAAGTATATGAAACTTGGAAAGTAGAAGAGGTAGGTAGCATGCCCTTTCATGTCATATGGAGGAATGGCCGCCCAAGGGTTTTCTAGGGTAGGGACTGGCAAACTACGAAGACCCATAGGCCCAATCCAGCCCACAGCCTATTTTTGTACTGCCAAGTAAAAGGGGGAGAAGGAGGAGAAAAATATGAGATGACATGTATACGACCCACAAAGCCTGAAACATTTACTATCTGGCCCTTTAAAGAAAAGGTTTGTTGGCCCCTGGTCGAGGGAAATGAACTTAGTTCATCTTATTGCTTACTACTGATTGAAGGCCCCAGACTTAGTGAAGTTACTTGTTAATTTGTAGATTTTTGTCCAGTAAAACTATGAAAAATTTCTGTCCAGTGGAACCTATAACCTCAAGGATTTATGATCTTGATAGACATTAACTAATTTTGTATCTAACTCAGCAATAAAATTATCTTTAAATATCCTAGCTTCTCAGATGCTTTTGAACCAACCGATTCCCTCATTAATTAATGAGCTAAAGAAAATCTGCGATATATGTTCAGTTTACATTTACCTGAGAGTTGTGATTTTTACCTTTTTGAAAATTATA